TCGCATTACGCCACGAACACCTCAACATAGATGTATTTATTAATAATTTTCCCCAAAACTAGTAAAAAATAACGAAAAACATTGTCAAAGTCCTACCATCCCAAACTAAATAAATTAACCATCTCCTCTTCCCAATTTGTCAGGGAGAAAACAGCATCCTGGCAGCATGGAGTCGACGGTTACACGCATCACGCCCTGGCGGGGCACACGGGTGGCTCCCCCGCAGGTATGGGAGCGCACGGAGCACACGGCCACCCCCACCCATCCCACCCCCACACAGGCCACCCTCACGCAACCCTCGCGAGTCCATTCTACGCGCAAAACGTCGCGATGATGTCCTCCCGGTGGCCTTACGAATCCGCTGGCTTCCAGCGCGCCTCGCCGTACGGTAAGTCACCTCTCCATGTTGTTTTTTTTTTTCCAGAGAATTAGGTGAACGCACTCAGCAATGAGGACTGATACCGCGAACAAAAGTAGCGGGACTACTTGCACTACGACGATAAGATATCCTCGCTATTTCCTATTTCCACCGATTAGTTATTATCATAGGCTTTTTAGTAGCGAAGAGGGGAGTAATGGTTATTGTTTTTATCTTGCCATGCGGGTGAGTTAAAAGCCATTTTTTCAACTCAACTTTTTTGCATTCTACTTCACTCTGCGGCACGAGAGGTCAAGCTATTTTTAATTGTCAAGTGTACGTTTCTTTAAACCTTGTGACTCATGACTCAAATTATTTCAAGTTCAATTTACATTCTACCGTTCTATTTTCATATTATCGCGCTTTATGTTGAAATTACGATATTTACTTATTAAAGCAGAGGAAGTATCGGGTGATAGGGAGGGCGTAGGCGTGCAGGAGATAGTCGTGACATAGGAGAAGTAGTTTATAATTTTTTTTTTCATTTTAGCGCATTTCAAATGCTAGAACTTTGAGGATACTCACGTATTTTTTGTTTTCCTGTTTTCCTTTTTATTTTTATTTCATTCATCAAATTTTTCATCTCAATCGCATGGAAAAATTTGAAAAATGGTCATGAATAATTTATGTTATTTGAGGTACGTCCGGAAGAAAATTACTCTTCGAAAACGATCGCTTCATATAAATTAATAATGAGAATTGTGTAAATGGTCAATAATTTTTTTTGCAAGGAATTCATTTCTGTTTAAATTTGGGGTATAAATGAATTTTTAACGTTTTTGGAAAAATAGTTCTGAAGAGAGAAAATAGATTTTGCAATAAATTATTTATAAGGAGGGGTCCTTCTATAAATTTTCCGTTAAGGTTTAATTTTTGTCTACAGTTTTAAAATGTTTTGAGTTCAAAATGTAAGGAGGTCAATTTTTACCAGACTTATTGCATTCTTTAGTAGATTATTATTTCGGTAAAAAATTTTAAAAGATTATCCGATTATTAAACTTGGGAGGCATTTTTCAACAGTTTTACCTTTTTAGGAAGTAAAAATAATAATTTTCAATGAAATCACGACTATTCAATGCCAAATTACGTTGAATTTTCAATGAATTAAAAATTTGTCCTGATTTCTACAAATTTTGAGAAAATAATTGAACTGAAATTTGCAGTTCTTCTGAATTTTTCCCATGAAATTCTGAATTTTCAAAACGTGATAAAAATTTCCAAAAACTTTACCGGAAATTTCAGCCAAATGTTTTCACCCCTGTAGAATATATTCAGTAAACTTAAAAAAAATCACTGTTCAAAATACTCGGACGTTCTTAATAAGAAGTTCTATCCGAATTAGAAACACGCGAATGCCAATGAAATTCACCTCCTCACCTGGAGTATGTCTGGAGAATAAAACCCAGAGGCAATGCGGCACCGAAAAGTGATTTCTTTTCTCGGATCGCACACACCAGAAGCGGTTAACTACGGGCCATGTGGGCAAAGACTCAGTGTTATAAGTGATAGCGGTGGGCTTTGAGGGATGGTGGCACCGAGTACAGAGTGCTCGAGTGCTCCCCGGTGCAGTTTTCAACTTGCAACAGACCACTTAAGAGTCCCAACGATAAATTTGAGGGACTTGAAGTCTCCCGGGGTCAGAGGGTTTCGAATAATCGATCTGTCATGCGTTCTAAATTTGAAATCATGATGTTTCAGTCTATTATCTTTATCTTCAGCTTCCTGAATTGCCGAGAGAGTTGACGGCTCGAGTGGTTGAGGGCTTCGCCCTCAGGTGGCGGCAGCTTACGACAAATTTTTATTTAAAAAAATTTACTTCGTTTCTAGGATAGAAAAAAAATCGTTAAAACACTCCACGAATTTTGAATTGATGATGATTCGTTATTGAAAAATCATGAATCGATGATGAGATGATCAGCGGGATAATTGAAGAACCGAAATTATTCAAACGACTAGTCGTAAATACAATGACCCAGGCGTGAGGAGACTCATTCGTTGGGGAATAATGTACGTTTATTCTCTTCTTAATTCATCGGGGCTCGAATCGATCGATTATCATGCGCACACGAGAGAGAGAGAGAGCGGCGAGGCCAAAGGAGCTCAGATTATACTCAAAGCGTATTACGATTTATGTTTCGCAGATACGGCGATGGATTTTCAGTTTGCCGAGGGACGAGAGTGCGTTAATTGCGGGGCTATTTCCACCCCACTGTGGAGAAGAGACGGTACCGGTCACTATTTGTGTAATGCCTGTGGACTCTATCACAAGATGAATGGAATGAACAGGCCGCTGATCAAGCCATCCAAACGCCTCGTAAGTATCAGAATTCACTGACTCAATTGCCCTTTAAAAATTTCGAAATTTAAAGAAGAAAGGCGAATTGATAGCGAATTGTCGTGAAACTTGTGCCGAGTGAAAATGAAAAATTATCAAATTACCGAACATTTGTAATGATTCTATCAATCGAAATTTGATTTATATCAATACCATTTGATTTTTCATTGTGAACCGAAAGAGAAATAAAACGGGAATTTTCGGCGCACTTTTTAGGAATTTTTATCAAGTAACAATTTAACTGGAAATTTCACGGAATTTCGTCTTTAAAACTTGACAATTTGATGGATAATAAGTGGAAATTGTATATTCCAGTTAAATTATTCTGTGAAAACTAATGAAAATCAGGAAAAATTATGTGAATATATTTTCAGAGAGAAAAAAGTTTAGATTTTCAGGTCAATGCCATAGATTTTCATTACCATGTCACTGATTTCAGGGATATGTCTCTGATTTTTAGAAATTTATCACCAATTGTTGTTGATACTCGACACTTACTATTTACTGAAAATCAAGACTTCTTTTGTGCAGTTTTTTGTTCAATCTATTAATTAAAAATACAGCATAATTTGGTAACAAAAATATTCATGTTCTTATTGAAAATACAAGTGAAATCAGTAATTTTCGTCTTTTTACTGCTCGAAAATTTATAATTTCACGATTTCTTTCCCCGCTAAATTAAATTTAAAGTTGCTGTCTTGAAAATTATCGCTAAACTATCAGTTATAATACTCCGAGAGCTTCATAATTATTAATTTTTTAATTGTTCCACGAGATGTCGAATACCGCAATTCTATTGTTCGGAAGGGTGATAGGTGAAATAATTTATAAAATTGTTTTTTTTTCTGATACTGTACTTCCCGAGGCAAATTCATCAAATAATTCAACTAATTACTCCTCCGACTATTCACCCTCATTCGCACAATTGTTATCATCCTCTTCTCACGAATTATCGCCATTCGGCGTACGTAATTGGCAATGGGACAGATCTCCGAATTCCAGACGGCGACTAGACGACTGGGTCTGTGCTGTACCAATTGCGGAACCAGAACAACGACACTGTGGAGGCGTAACAATGAGGGTGAGCCCGTTTGCAATGCATGCGGTCTCTACTTCAAGTTGCACGGGGTGAATCGCCCACTGGCAATGCGAAAGGATGGCATACAGACGCGCAAGAGGAAGCCCAAGAAGACGCCCGAACCAAATGCACCGAGATCCAGTGGAAATGATCACGAGACGTCGACATCGACCAGATCATCTCCGTCGAACGGTAATTATCAATTTATCAGTGGGATTTAATTATACTTTTGAAAGCTCTCAACTGGAATTTCTGATCAAGGATTTTTGGAACGAAAAGAGTATAAACTTTAAAGTCAAAGTCTTCTTTTGGTGGTGGGGGTGACGGAGAATGATTTTTTTTCACCAAATGTACACGCAGAGAAAAATTCAACAAAAATTACCAGAAAAAAAACGTAAAAATTACGTTTTGAAACGTAATCCGTGAGCGAAGTAAAATTCAATAAAAAGTGTGAGTCGGAACTGAAATTGTACGGATCGCCACGTAAATTCTACGATTTGTTCCGTAAAAAATAACCACCCGTCTGATGACTCACCGCTATGGGGACAAGTCGTTCCGTAATTTTTCCTCAACAATTGAGAAATTTTACGGAAAGGAACGTAGAAATAACTCACCAGCTTCATAAAAACTGTTGGGTAATAATAAGTTGGCATAATAATAAGTCGGCAAGTTTCTGTAAGATTTTACTTCTTCGGGAAAAATTACGTGACAATTTCGTAAAAAAACGAAACAGTGATGAACCTGAGAATGCACTGAACGTTTCAGATTTCTTCTCTTCCATTCCTACAAAAATTGCCGGAAAACGATTGCCCATTCCGGATTACGTGAATTGTTCCGTAATTTTAACTGAATATTTCTCTCCGTGTAGTTTCCGAAATTTCACTTAAGTCCGTCCCCATGTCCCTCAGATCTAACGCCGAGAAAAATGCCATACTGTCGCGGGAAATTTTATAGCTGGAACAGTAATTGTTGCATCCACAGATGTTTTTTTTTACCGAACGCATCGTAAGATGTCCTTCGTAAAAGTATTTGTTATTGCATTGCAATTTCGCTTCCCGATTCCCCTCTTCTCTTAAAATTTTCCGCGATGATCTAAACAATTTTTACTCAACTTTTCTGACCGTAAAGTATTCAAAGCCATTTTTGAAATCAGACGACCCCTGAAAATTCTCTCACTCTCAATCCCCCAGACTTGAAGAGCAGTCAACAGCCGCCTCAGCATCACCAGATAGAGTCAACAAAGTCCTCATCATCAGTATCAACTGACCGTCCAGTGTACCTGGGTCACACATCGCTGCTGGCAACTGGAGGAGTGCCAGCAGTGAAAACCGAGCCAAGAAGTTGCGACGGAATAGTCGGACAGCCATACTCATCGTACTACCAGCATCCCCATCAACTCGATCCACCGACAAGTGACCACCAACAGCAGAATTATTACCAAACCCAAGAGACTTCGTACCACCATCAGCATCACGTAGCAACAGCTGCGAAACTTCTCGCGTCATCCTAGAACAATTTCTCACCATTCGATATTTCGTAATGAACCGAGATTTGACGTTTTCACCCTATTAATTCATTAGATAAATCTTCAGTGTCCTGTTGAAGGAGTACTTTATGTGTGATACCTAAGTTATTTATGCACACGCGATATATTGCTATGGATGCGTCTGACTAGATCGTTTTTTTACATTTTTTTTATGTTTCCTCTGTAAATATTAAAGGAATAATTCAATGTAGTAGATATTAATCACTGATAATTACTAGATTAATCAGCAACGAATTGGAAAAAAAATGCACCTGTAAATAATACTTCAGACTTATCACTAGATTCTACACTATTCCGATGAATTTGATTTAAGAATAATTAATAAAAATAATCGTAAATTGTGCCGTAGGAATTACAAAGAGTCTCTCCATTTTTTTTCGTGTACTTAACGTAATAAAGAAAATCGTTACAAACGAGAATATCTAAATGTTATTAATCTTTACCCATGACCCCTCTTATTATGTGTACCCAAGTGAGGATAATGCATTCTACCAGAAGAGTTCCTGAGGAGTGAGCATCAATCCTTGGAAAATTCCCTTCATTCGATATTTCGTAATGAACCGAGACTTGACGTTTTCACCCTATTAATTCATTAGATAAATCTTCAGTGTCCTGTTGAAGGAGTACTTTATGTGTGATACCTAAGTTATTTATGCACACGCGATATATTGCTATGGATGCGTCTGACTAGATCGTTTTTTTACATTTTTTTTATGTTTCCTCTGTAAATATTAAAGGAATAATTCAATGTAGTAGATATTAATCACTGATAATTACTAGATTAATCAGCAACGAATTGGAAAAAAAATGCACCTGTAAATAATACTTCAGACTTATCACTAGATTCTACACTATTCCGATGAATTTGATTTAAGAATAATTAATAAAAATAATCGTAAATTGTGCCGTAGGAATAACAATGAGTCTCTCCATTTTTTTGTGTACTTGACGCAATAAAGAGAATCGTTACAAATGAGAATATCTACCTGTGAATGTTATTAATCTTCACCCCTGACCCCTTTTATTATGTATGCTCAAGTGAGGATAAAGCTTTCCGCCGGAAGAGGTGCTCGAAGGGTGAATGACGGAAATCTTGGGCAAATATTTTTTCTATTTCTACCTTTAACATCGATGTTTCCACCCCCTACTGGTTATGTTATTCCAACAAATCCCCCCTCGATCGGAATCAGAATCGACGGTGTCGACCTGGACGAATGGACAATTCGAGTTCACATCGCGGAGTTGAGTGGTCGAGAATCTGACGTCTTTTTGAGTATTAGGGAGCAGAGAGCAATGGGTGAGTAACAGTTGTGAGATAAAATTAGGGGCCATTTCACTCCTTCGGTTCCTGAATCCCTTTCTCTTTGGCATTTCTCGTTAGCGCAATATTTCAAATTGTCAATTGCCACTTATATCTGTCTGTTATTAAGCTGCCGATATGTCCTTTTGAGGGAGAGTAGATAGAGGCTGATGGCAGGTGTGAAGAACTTTCAGCTTTCAATGCTATTTCTTTGATTGTGAAATTATCATTTAGATTGTTTTAATGAGACAGAGTAATCGTTCCTAATTAGTTATTAATGGAATTGGGGTTTTAACTGGGACAGAATTGATATCTATAATTCAATAGTGAAGTGATAAAGGGAGATAAGTCGACTTATCTCCCAGTTGAGTTTTTGAGGAGTATTTCCGAATCTAAGGGAGATAGCGAAATTTTCGTAATTACATTTTTTGTTGCACTGAATCGGCTCCACAAAAATGGTTATGACAAAAATTTTGCTATCTCCCTTAGATTCCGAGATATGGATTGAAAACTGGTCAATAGTCAAAATTGACTTATCTCCTTTTACCACTTCCCTACTGAATTGTCAATTAATCAAAATTAATTGTAAAAATATTTTGACTGCTTTGAATGAAGGCGTCTAGCAAATTTATGATTTTGTACTGAAATTTGTTCAATTAAAATTGAAACTTCATATTTTTCACATGAATTCTATTTCTGGAAAAATTCTATATGATTCCGAAAAGAATATTTTTGAGGTGTAAAATTAATTGTTCGTAAACGATTACAAAAAACGGTCGTAAATGAAAAATTTCAATTTTTCAATGATTTTATAGAGGTTTCTTCAAAAGGAGAGCTTATAATTATTTTTTTAGATTTTGAAAATGTTCCCTGAGGGTTCAATAAGAAGAATCGAATTTAGACCTTGAAAGTTTAAATAATGAAACGATTGCAAAATGTCTGGAAAATTAGGATTGAATGGGGCTTAGCAAACATCGCTATTAAAATTGCCATAAACAGATATTCGCCTAGAAAAATGGGGCATTTCCTTAATTGCAGCTATCAATATCCAATTCTATTCTCAAAAATGTCGCAAAAAATTTCACATTTCTCCAATGGTTTGCCATGAAAATACAAGCAGTTGGCGAATCGCGACCTCTTCAACTCTTTCAGGAGTCCCCCATTTTGTTTATCCGAAAATGATTCATTGTGCCCCTGCCTACCCTCCTCTAGCTAGAATTTCTTTCAATCAACAGGAAGAACACTTCCAACTCCAGTCGCTTGCAAAGTCTGCGGAGATCGATCCTACGGAAAGCACTATGGAGTCTACTGCTGTGACGGTTGCTCCTGTTTCTTCAAGAGATCGGTTCGTCGCGGTGCCTTGTATACATGCATAGGTGCTCCCCAATAAATCCAACATAAATCCCAATCCCACGAGAAAAAAAAACAACAATTGTCGTATAATTGCAGCAGGCACAGGCACATGCGCAGTGGACAAAGCCCGGCGGAACTGGTGCCCCCACTGTCGCCTGAGGAAGTGCTTCGCGGTGCAGATGAATACCGCAGGTGAGATTATTCAATTCGATAATTTTCCAACCCACAGTATTGCAACATTGAGAGATAACCCGCGAGATTGACTGGAAGTGGGGAGGGGCGACTCAAGGAGAGGCAAACATTGCCGCGTGCCCGACACACGTCCAACCGCTGGTGTAGGATGTGTCAACATTCGTAATTGACAGACCAGTGAACTGGGACTGTTAGAGTCGGGGGTTGAGTAAATAAATCCTGGCACTGTGTTAGATAACAATGCTCTCTATTCAAATCACGGAAAAATGTCGAATCAATTGTCCTGGCGATAATATTTTAATGAAGAAATGACTGTGTGAATAATCAAAATGCAGAGTTCATTCGGGAGTAAAGTAGCACAGAAGTTCATTTGACGGCGCATTTGGATTATTAGATGTTCGTGAATCCGTTATCATCGCGATTTGAGGATATTCAAGGAATTTAGCCATTTTACAATGATTTTAATATTTAAACTTTGCACGTAGGAATTTGAATCTCGATATTGAACCGTTAGAAAATATTCTGAAAATCAGAAAAATGGAAAGTTGACTTTGGAGGAAGATTGATGAAATAATTTATAAATTGCAATTTTTTTAAATTATGAGATTTTGCTATAAATAATTTATAAACAATCAATTTTCCACCATAAACAGTATATTTCCGGCCTTTTATACTCATTATTCCATAAAGACAGCTCGGACATTTTTCCATAGTGATTTTTACTTTTAAAAGTTTGGGGACGGGCTAATCCTGGACCAATCCCTGGACGAGGAAAAGTGAAGGTCAACACGGAAAAATCATTTGTGCGGAATCATAACAACTTCATTCATATTTAGATTTTTCCCAGAAATCGATTTTATGCCGAAAAAAAAGGTTTCCGAAAGCGTCAACAATTTCCATGATTAATTTATGAACAACGAATGTTCAAGAAAATAATAATTCTATGAAAAATGTAACTTGAATGACGCTGAATATTGATGTTTTTTTTTCCAAATTTTTCTCACACAAAAAATCATTTGTCTGGGTGTTTTGAAGAATTTCACCGTTCCTTGGTCACATTTTCATCAAAACCTCGTCTTGAACTTGAGTTGCCCCACCCCAACAATTCCAATCCACCGGCATTTAACAAACATCCTCCACCAATCACTGCACATTTTGTCATAAAAAAATCGTCCATCTCTTTTGATGATATTAACATTCCCATCAAAAGCCATCGACATAACCCACCCAATCGAATAAATTTAGCCGTTCAAGAAGAGCGCGGTCCGCGCACCCGAAATCGTGCGTCATCATCTCTAAGTTCAACGACACCTTGGAGTCCAATAGAGTCCGCACCAACGGCATTCACACCAAAGATCAACGAAGCAATCTGCCCAGAAACCAGAATGGCGACGAGTATTTTTCCGCCTGCGTTGTTTCCTCCACTCCTTCCCGGTCTTGTCTCCTCAGGTAATCTCCAGGAAATTTGAGTCCACCAACACCAGTCCAAAGGAAGTAATGTCTGATAACTTTAGGGGAAGCCATGCACTACGAAATCTCCGCCCAGATATTCCTCTCGTCGATCCGCGGCGCTCGCAGACAACGAGACTTCTCAATGCTGAATTCCTCCGATCAAACGACAATGTTGCGACAGAATTGGGCCGCCATATTTACCCTGCGAGCTTCTATATGGCCGATAGACCTGGTCGAACTGCAACCGCGAAATCCAACGTCTAATAGAACGATAATCACATGTTTGTCATCAGCCCGGGCAACAATACGTAAACTACAATTGGATGAAGTGGAGATTTCGTGTTTGGAAACTTTAGTAATTTGTCGTCCAGGTGACCAAAGCAAAGGTTTTATTCAATCTGATCAATTTATGAATTATATTTCCTTAGAATCGATCATTTTCCGCTGCAGAGTTGGCTGAAACTGTCCAGGCACTAGGTGCAATGACCACAGGAAGAGCCACCGCATTAGAGTCTCTCATCCAGCATCTCCAAGGGCGAGACGATAACGGCCAGCGTCTTGCCGAGATTCTCCTCATCCTTCCAATCCTATTCACCAGCAGCTGCAAGGAACTAGGCCTCGCTCTGTTCGCCCCGATAATCGGTGACGTAGCTCTCGACCGAGTCATCGCCTCAATCCACTAATCAGAATAAACATGTACTGCACCATTCAATCAATAAATTATTAACCAAACTCAGCGTTCGTTCTTAATCTACTAACAACAACGCAACCAAACACGTAGTTTAGGTACCGATGTATGAACGTTCGACGTGAGTCATGTTGATTGGAAACTAGTGGGTGCTCATTATCGCAGTAAACTTTTCGCTAATTCATTCATGCGATTCAATTCGGTCGAAGAGTGCAAGCAAGATTAATCGGGTTTCACCGAGAATTGAGTCAAAATGATTGACAAGTTGATCAAAGTCCTTCTGACTGCTCTCATCATCGTATCTTCGATCTCCTCAACGGATTCGTTGACAAATGCCCTAGATTGGAACAAGAGTATCTTCGCCAATGAAGACTGTAAGTACCCGCCTAACATCCAAGATCAATCCTTTTGATTGAATAATGCTCAGGCAGAGAAGAACGACAACCAGTGGTCGAGTACTACCACCACAATGGAATGCAGTATCTATTTTTCTCGCAACGCGTCACATGGGAGGAAGCCAGAATGCTCTGCCGAAGCTATAACTCACGATTGGCACTCCTCGATACAATGGAGAAGGCATTGGGTGTGGCACGATCGATAGCTGAATCAAACATAGGTCAATAGCGATTTGTTTTTAGTTAATTACATCAACAAGTTTCTGGTTCAACGATTCCTTTTTTTCTGGCGATCCAGTTATGGAGGACACTTGGGTCGGAGGAAGGAGAATCGACTTCGTGTGGTACTGGATTGATAAGGAAACAGGTCCATGGAGAAATGAGATTTCCATGGAGCCTAATATCGAAGATTATCCGCCGTGGAGTCGAGAGCCAACCAGACCGACTAAAGAGTGTCTGGCTATTGATCGGAGATCACACGAGCATCCGATTTTTATCGACGTTGATTGCAGACTTCAGAGGCCTTTCATCTGCGAGAAAAGTAGATCTTTAGTGGAGGTGTTTGGAGGCATTTTGTTGACGGTTTCTGTCGGTTTTTAGGAGATGGGGAGGTTATCAGCAGTCCAGTTCCTTCCAAGTGGGTTCAGATTAATCGCAATACTTATGTCTTGTATCATGGAAGGGTCACTTGGCGGGAAGCAGCAACTTTCTGCAGGACCAAGGGGGCGAGGCTGGCTATTCTCAAAAATTCTATGGTTGTTAATATTCTTACTAATAGTATGGCGAAGACTAGACCAGGTTTGATATTCAATTTTTAAAATATCAATGCAAATTATGAATATTCATCAATTGTAATTATTGTAATTGTAATTGTTGAATGATGGAGAGAGACTGCTCCAAATGGTTCATCCATTTGAAAATAATTTTTTTATTATCATTGAAGAGAAGAGGTTCAGTGAAAATTCAAGAGACTTCTTTTTATGTAGATGTTCATCTCCTGTTCTTTTGCTCGAGGATTGTCTTTTTTGTTCTGAAACTTGTTTTAAGATTTTGAAACTGTATGGATTGGCGCATATTACTCATACGGCCAGTGGGTTTGGATGGCGACTGGATCAGTTCTGAATTCGCTAACGGACGAAGGTGGCTATCCACCTTGGAGATTCGGTCGTCCTGAGAAGAACGACGGCTGTTTATTATTGGATAGACATATAGAAGACAATTCTACATTCGTGGAGGCGGCCTGTGATCGCAAGAGAGATTTCGTCTGTGAAGAATGTAATTTCTAAAAATTTCCTCCGCTTATTTTATCAGCACATAAATTGATGCTTTGTAACATTGATTTGTAGATTCTGATGACGAAGAGGATGATTGGATGGACGAACCAGTGCAATTCTCCTTCGAAAACAGTACGTACATAATCTACCCAATCCACAAAACCTGGAGAGACAGTCGAGATTTCTGTAACGAAAGAGGAAGTGTCCTGGCGTATGTGGAGCATGCGAACGCAGTGAATTTGGTTATCGAAGCGATGGGTGATCATCCCAGAGAGATTGCCCACGTATGGCTAGGGGGAGAATACAATAAGAGACTGGACGAATGGCGCTGGATTGGAAATAACGAGAAAATACTAAAGGAAAAGGACGAGTTTGGATTCCCTCCGTGGGCGCATATCGACGGAGAGATCGAAGCAGATTCCGGCAGTACCTCATGTCTGAATTTAGACAGAACTGATCATGTCAAGCCTCACTTCTACGGACTGGAGTGCAACAGCAAACAGCCATTTGTCTGTAAAATAAGTGAGAAAGCCTATTCTTTAATTCAAAATGAACCTTCTTAAATTGTTCTCATCTCCTGACCAAATGACGCGATTTGAATGGGTCAGGTCTTATTTTAACGTCTGCAAAAATGGTTTGAAAAAGAAAAACAAAATCAACTATTTAAAATGGTGCATTCACCCCGTCGCCCAAAATAACCAAATTAAAAAATCCTAATCATCATTTAAACCAATAGATAACTAGTTTATCATCCTTTCAGCATGCGACATACCTCCACCGATACAAAACGGCAATTGGAGCTGCAGTGACATCACCGACGGCCGGCAATGTCTCCTGCACTGCGAGGGCAATCTGATAATGATGGGAATCAAAAATGTTACCTGTAAATTCAAAAACGGATGGGTATCTGGAAATAATCCAATGGAATTCCCCCTTTGTCTGCAGCCGAGAATGTTTACCACAAGAATGATTCGATCACTGAGTCAAGATATCCAGAAGAGCTCTGGATATTACATCCTCTTGGACCATTCATCATCGAAATTGAAGCCTATTCTCGTGGAATTTGTTGAGCGCATCGTCATCTCATTTCCGTATTAAACCAAATTTTCACGCTTCCGAATATTTTATTCTGTCAAAAGGAATTTGATAGGTTTTCTTTGCAGAGCATCGCGCAATTTGAAATTCGGAATGACGACATACCTGACCAATCCTCCAACTCATTTGCCATTCAACCAGACAGACAAGTGCGCAGTGATTTCAGCGGTTCGATCATTGCAAAACATCACGTCTGACATTAAAACCGCAGATGTAAACATCAGTTCAATTCAAAAAGACATTTCGATGTACGCCGGCCGCAGAATATCGATAAGTCAGTCGTCTGCGTCCCTAGTAGCGTAGTAAAATATTTCAGGGTCAATTATCAATTCATATTCCAGTTGCGGTAATCGATGCTAAGCGTGGAGCTGTTTACACAGATGCTCTCATGCAATTCAAAGCAGTGGGGCATCACATTATTGTTGTGGGACTCAGAGAGGACACTGAGACACTCCTACCTTTAGCAACGATTGGTTTCAACAGGAGAATTAATTTGTTTTTGTTTGAGGAGGCTGACATTGCAGCTGTCGTCAATGAGATCAAGAGTAAATAAAGAATTCCTGAATACATTATTCTCCGGGATGAAAACGAAGAAAATTATTCTGATGAATATTTTCAGATCACGAGAGGAAGCGGTCTAGATGTTCAGACACCCCAAAAATCGATTATTCTCCAACTTTTAAATATTTAGGAATCAATGAGACGAATCCTTTTCCACAAGACACGAAGAAGAATTTACCAGAACCGAGAGAGAGTCTTCCATCAATTCCTTCAGCTTCAACAGGCGGACAAGAGGACGAGAATCCTTGGAAGTTGGTGACTCGTTCATCCGCCACCCCTGAATCTACCACTGAGTCAGAATACGAGGATCTGCAACTTCGCGAAATTCAAAGAACCACTGCCAAAGCTGATGCAAACCCCTCTCAAGAACCAAATGCAAAACGTGAAACTGATCTTTATGAGGAAGAAGACTCCTAACTCACTCTCAATTATTTTCTTTGGCACTTTATTAACGTAACAAAGTACGAAGGCTATGTACAATTATCTTAGAGTAGTATGGCGTGTCAAATTGCAAATCTTAAACAATTAAAAAAAATGCCTTGAAGAAAATGACACGTCGAGGTTTGTATGGTGAGATGTAAAAGTTAATAAACAGTTAGAAGTACGTTGTACTGATAATTAATTCTAGATTATAAAAGTACCTCAATATTTGGAGATAACGTACTCCAAATCAATGCCACTTACGTTATTTTGAGTCAAATCTTTGATAGTTACTCTCAACACTGGAAGGCCTGTGGATTTTCACATAAAAAAATGATTAATTGGTGCTTCAAACTTTTTACATATGGATACACAGCACCCATTTACAACATTATTGCACCACATATTACAAAAAAAAATGAATGTTTTTCATCATAAAATAAACACGAAAGAGTGGAAATTCCCCGTGTTTCTGGTAAAGAAGAATTTATAAAAAAAAATTAACAACCTGTTCTAGATAGAAAATTACATACTGACGATGATGAAATCTTACAAACTCCGTTATATCTTAAGACTGGCAGAAAGGCACCAAAAATTTGTAAACAACAAAACAAAAAAAGTTCGTTGTATTATTTCTTCCTGTACTTGCGATAGCGCTCCTCCTCGTATTGTCTGCGTAACTGGCCGATTAAATTACTAGGCACATCCCACAGTTTATCCATATTAATGAGCAATGCCTCTGTCACTTGACAACAAACAGCGGCCATATTTACCTGAGCACTTAGATCAGTACGATCACGTGGATAAATGTATCTCGGGGGAAATAACGAGGGTGCAACAATCATAGCAACATTGTGAATTGACATTTTGTTTGAGCTCTGATTCTCCACGACTAATTTGAAGAAGGTTAATAATTCTTTGAGAGTACAGCGGTGTTCCACTGGTAGCAGTAGCACCAGAAGATTCAAAGCGTAAGACAATTCATTCGGATTCTTGACACCTGAAAGCAATTGCATTAATCATAAGATCCCACTAATTCAATTGACGTGATGTTTCAACTTTTGTAATATACAATGCATCATGAAACCCACCATGACTTTGATAAAAAGCATCAATAAGTTCAATCGTCAGCAACGGCTGCGGCAAATCCCTCAACAATTTTTTCAGCACAGCTGACAAATCATGACAGGGACTCCGTTGAAACAATCTATCAGTCTCCTTAGGTTTACTATAAAAGTCCATCTCCAACTCACTGCACAGTGCCTCCACCTTTTGCTTATGTCCACCCACTCTGAGGATACCCTCCTCCTTAACCCCACGCCTGGTCAATTCACTCAATAATTTTTGAAAAACAAGAGGAATATTGCTCTCCTCAATCGTCAACTGACTATCACGAAGTAGCAACGTGGACAACGAAACACCGAATAAATTTCCAGCTAAAAATAAAATCGCAAATTGTTTTTTCAAAATCTCCGACCAAAACCACAACCCAACAAAATTCCATTCATCAACTCAGTATTTACCTTTCCGTCTGCGTTTATTTGGCTTGCGTTTAGTGAGTGGAACATTGTATTTATCGAATACAGAGGTTAACTCAAGCCACAGGAGTGGTTGAAGCCTCATGATATCCCTCTGAGACATCATCTCCACTCTCTGTCGATTATCATCGTCCTTATCATCCTCGACATCCCAGTCCCCACTGGCAGTTTCATTGGCCCTGCACATTTGTTCAAAACTCAAGTGACCATGCGACGACGTACGACTCAATGGTCTCGTTATCAAAGTGTCGCAAGGTCTCGTCAATCCATACAAACTGCTGTGACTCCTTGTCACGGTGGCATGACTGCCGGGGTTTCGTCTGAGGGTGGACTCTTTGCTGCCAGGTACTTTTCCAGGTTTGACATCCAGATCCGCAGTGCTGGCAACCTCACTGGGATCACTGCCACTCCTCTGAGGTCTTGCAACGTGAATAGTCCCAAGTCTGTGGAATCCAGTGAGCTGAATACCCTCAGAATCGCAGGCAATATCTCCTCTGTGAGACCAGTGATGCCCAGCCCTTCGGAATATCTCTTGCATTGGAAGTGGTGTTGGTGCAACAACTGGATTTTGGACCGTAGTGGGAGCACTAGGTAGCCTCCTAACCGTTTCCTTCTCATTCGTATTCTTTGTGTGAGAGTGAAAGATGGAAACAAAACTTGGAACAGTGACGTGAGGATGATGCCTCTCCGTCACACTGACACTAGGTGGTGATGGTGGTAATGCACTGTCCCCTGTTTCACCTGACACAGAGTCTAACGAGTCCGGTGTAGCACTGCGTGATCTTGTCCCAGTGCTCGACACCTGCAATACATCGTCCTTGATCACGATGTTACAATTGGATTTTATTCAAAAGAATTAACAATCTTACTTCAACATCTTTGAAGACATCTCTGATGTCGGGTTTTCGCGCTCTTGTGCGTTGATTGAAGCGCTGTTTAACCGTATGATTGAGGGATCTTACTCTACGTTTAACCGCTTCAGCTTGTGCACGTGACAGCGGACGGAGTGCTGCACCAAGTTCATCGGGTTGAACTTCTCTACCTGCTTTCCAGGGCTCTGTCAACTCACCTAGACCAGCGGCTCTCAACCACTCTGCTTCCTCTTCCCCCTCTAAAAATTCACATAATGAAAATGCATTCGTGAATCATTAGCCTAATGACATTCATACCGTCGTAACTGCGTGGACTGCACTCCTCGTCTAGATAATCGTCCAGCATTTTAGTTTCCTCCATCATCTTCTGGTAGGCCTCCCAGTACTCGTGGAGATGTGCATCACCACCACTGTACGTCATTCCGTGTGCACGATCCATCGTACACTTGTGTGATATAAACTATATTTGTGACTGTTTAACAGTGTAAAATTCAGTTCAACTATGATTCATTCGTATGAAATCACATTTCGAGGTTGGACGCTCGTTAAACCGTTAACCCTGAAATTTTTTTTTCAAAAATCTACTGATAATTCCGGAAAGATAAGCCGGCTAATTATCACTAATGATAGCGTATCTCGAAACAAGTGCTCCTCCAAATTACAAGCCGTGAGAGAGAATGAAAATTTATCAATCGTAAAGTCGTAGATTCGTCTAATCCCCCCATTGGATATTATTGAATAAAGAAAACTAATTAAGATAGTGGAATACGGAGAAAACAATCAACGAAAAAATACATGAAAAGTGATGTGAAATACCGGAAAATTTATCTATTTTTTTCATGTTTCTTCATAAAAAAAACTCCTAAATTTTACTGTTTGTTGAAAAAAATGACATTACAACAGGAAATTTTTTTTATTTATCCTTCGTATCGTGATTCTTTCCGTTGATTTTTTTTCTCAAGAAAATAACAAAATAGCCGTTCGCACAGAAATATCGCTGAACAATATCTAGCCCCGTTAGAAATGCTAATGTAATTGGAGCGAACGAGTTGAATAATTGTTGTGTATTTGTTTTCCATGGAGGTGGGGAAAGAAGAAAAAAAATTCCATACGTCACGTAAATTGTTGCGAAACCTAACCTCGCTGTTTGACAGATATACAACAAACTGAGGAGCCTCTCAACACCTCTTCGGACGCCCCATCATGAATGAAGGCCAAATGTTTATGAGGGGGATCGGTATACACCGCTGCTAAGCAACTGAATGACGTGTACACCAATCGAAATTAAATCGTTTTTTATTACAGGTGAAACACAAACACAACAAAGCCAGTGAAAAATAAGACGCAGTGGTTATTGGGGAATTGATACGCGAATGATGAATTTTTTTCAAAAGTCATTGATGTTTGATTAAGAAATATTAATGGAGTCTATGATCAAGCCATTAAGAATGCATTATAAATTCTGAACAGCGCCCACAACGATGAGATATTGCGATACATCTAGCATCAACTCTATTCATTCCGTATACGGTTAAATGGCCAGTGTGAAATGATAATGAGTGGATTAATTTGCAATTGATAAATCAGGTATTTTTTGATTGATATAAATTATTTGCCTTGTCAAACTCACAGTCATAAAGGCGCGACAGTCGATCCCTCGAGGTCGCCTGACCACCACCTGTTGAATGCCGTGTTTTTCAAGCGAAAAATATACAGGAGAGCGATGGTATTTTTCAAGTGGAGGGAATTGAGGAGATTGTGTGCATGTGAAGGCTGAAACCTCCAAATTGTGTGGGTGTGTGGGTCCACTGGGAGGCGGTTGCAGCCTTCACCGCTAGATGGATTTACTTGGTTATTTCTGATAGTTTTGATTTGTTAAAGATGTTGCAGGCGCACTGATAGACTGATTCATTGATTTCAAACGACATTCGTTAACTATTAACGAATGGTCGAGTTGAATATGACCAAATAAATATTCATTAATAGTTAACGAATAGTTCACTTGAAAGGTGAAAGTCGAGTCAAACAAGGCTCCTCAAATATGCATTTGTTAACTATTAACGAATGAACATTTGGTGAGACCGAATAGACCCTAGACTTCAACCAAATCCATTTGTTAACAACAACTAATCCTTTCTATCAGTGCGGTAATTGTGGTTGCTAAAATAATCAAAAGTGAAATTTTCTTTGCTTTCACTTTAGTGGAAAAAAATGTATTAATCAATCCGACAAAATTATAAACCGCCAAGCGAAATTAGATATCGAGAAAATAAATTCGGAAGATTATCTGTGCCACGCGGCCAACGGGGTTGAAATATCTCTTTTGTTTTTTGTCCCCCCCGTTACGTTTAACACATCATTCCCTATATCTCCAAATTTTTTCAAAATTTTTTTTCGATTCCTTAGGAGAGGGGAGGGTTAAATGTTTACTTTAATTATAACTTTGTTTGATTAATTTTTCGATACCGATAAGTTTTTAAATTTTGAAATTGTGATAAATGTTCACCATGTCTATTGTGTGATACAATTGATGAAAAAAAAAAATAACTTTTTTAGTGAACCCTAAAAAATATAATTTTTTAAGCGCATACATAGCACCCTTGACTGTATCATTAGAGGAGATCTGAGTTTGTTTTGTTAGACGCAACGAATTGGAGCTAATTTTAATCAAATTGAATTCATTTTGATCGAATTATCACATGGAGAGATTGTAGTTTCTATTTGCGTGGGACAGCTGAATCAATCGAGCGATGATAAAGATGTTTATGAAAATTGGTTTATTCAAGTGGCTGGGACAAATATCGTAATGAGTGAGACTTTGATTGATGGGAATTTTTGTCAATTGTAATGCGTGAGATAAGAACGAAAGAAAGATATATTGAGAATTGATGATTGATAGGAATTTGTACAGGACAAACACACGAGTCTCAACTTTTAGTGTTTTACCCTTTTTCAAATTTTTTAATCTTTTTTAAATTTTTAATTACTCAAGTGAATGCAATTATCCACGTGCCCTCAATTCAAATTCGTAATCAAAACATTTATGAAACTTTATAGATCTACATTAAAAATCCACGGAAATGACTTTTAATGTAGATATTTCGATTATAGTTTGAATTTTCAATTTTATATTAAAAATTGCCCAAAACCGAAATTAATTTTGCATCGTTTGGAAATTCCCAATTATTATTCGCCTGGAATTTCTTAATTTTTCGTCGTTGTGGAGGATTGAATGTCCTTCACTAAAAATTTTAACGGAAATTTTCCAACTATGCATGATTATTCATCTCCAAATGATCAATTCACACCCCTTCCAGCTGATCGATTCCATCTACAACCCCCACACAACAGTAAACGAAACAAATAAGTACCAATCTAAACATATACATCCACCAAAAGTCACGCTCACATGCTCCAACAGCATCCCAAAATCGTCGTTAAACTCAATCAAAACAATCCAAATAACTGATACCACTGTATCTACCACAATGAAAACTATACCCGTCTGTTCCCGTCGACGTCGATATTGTCTCGACGGCTCGCAAGCCGGCTCGACGCCAAAATCAGCTCAGTTGCTTTCCGGTCGGTGTTTTATAAATACTGCAGACAGACGGAGAGTGCACCGTACAGAGGGAGCATCGTTCAAAGCCCCTATCGTTATGTCGAGAGCAATTATCTGAATGAATGTCGTAAATAAAATAAAGTGAAATAATCTCAGTGAAGATTGAATTTATTTTCACAACTTAATCCCCAACTTTGCACTTGGATAAACCGACTTCACCAGAACTTTCATAAATATGTGATTGTGTCAACATTTTCCGATTGCTCTACATTGCTTAATTACCCCGGGACAACCAGTGGTAATAATCGTCAAGAATAATTCGTGTCGAAAGCTGAATAATGTGAACTTCAAGAAATAAATCAAAATTATTTTTATTGGCTTCAATTCAGGTATGTTTTACTAGCTCATAAATTGTTACGAAACTGAAACTGCCGTCAAATTTTCGTTGTTCTTCCATTTTCACTATTTCTCCCACTAAATTCTATTGATTCGTGTAAAAAACAGACGTGCAGGTAACACATTAAAGTGAGGAAACTAAAACTATGAGAGACTGATCTACTCCCGCTGATGGTGCAATTCCCTTGGCAATGACTAGGAATTGAGCGTCGATTCGGTCCGATGAATGCCGTGGTTTTCGATTGCGAAAGCTGTCGATTGAAAAGCAATGCATGAATCAAATATTTCGTCTCCTCTCCGCACGACTCGTTAGAAAATCTCACGGTCAAATGGTAGAATAAATGGGTCAATGTGAATGGAAACAAAATTGAAACGAATAAAAGTGGAAAATCCACGCAAATAATTGTGCCAATAACTCCAAAACGAGTTCATTCAGAAGAAATATCGAGACATCACTCACGACCTTAAAATTCTCTACAAAGGCGATATATGCTCAATAATTTGAGACCCGTCTTCCGCTTTTAAACTTTTACATCGACAATAAAAGTTTTATAATTCCCAGAATTTGAAAGTGGAATAAACGAGAGGACAAAGCCACCGAGAGGGCGAAGACACTGGGACATCACTCAGCCACGAGCCGCGACGATGACTCGATCATCGGAGCGTTAATTCTCTTGATCCTGGAGTGCGGTGCCCTTTGGCATTCATTCAAAAATTCAGCACAGAGACGATGATCGCAGAATGACGGGGCTTGTTGACAAAAAAAAGTGAGATAATTCAAACTTCCCGGAAGAAAGTTCAAAGAAACCAAATCCACAAGAATGAGTAATCTGTCCAAGAAATCCATCAGCGGATCCATCCACAGAATCCGTGAATTTGAATTGGAAAAGGTATCCTCATTGTTTGTTACTAACAAATAATCCACTGGTCGTAAACCAAAAATTCTCTTCCTGCTAACGACGTAATCTTGGCTCATGTTCTTGGAAATACCCAGTAGCATTATAGGCGAATTCGAGGCCACAATAAACTCGCAAAGACATGATTATCCAAATAATACAATTCCCGCGAGCCCTTAAAACGAGTTTCCAGATTATATTCAAGAATGAAAATCTGGGATATCCAGAAATAGTATCAGTTGCCAGCATTTACGTACGTGAGTAACGGTGCTAGGTACCTATTTCTGGCATTAAATTCAATCTGTACGGTAAAATATACCCAATCTAATTATACACATGCAAGCATTGTGATAAACTTCCACAATTCTCTATTATTCATTCACCCCCCCCCCCCTACAGTTTTTATCGCATTTTGTTTCATCATTTCTTAGATATTTAGACATCAGCCGTCTGTTTGTGGTGCTAAAAGTCAACAGGACAGTTGTTAAAGCCCACAAATCATAGAATATTAAAATCCCAGTGTGAGTTAACGTGAAAAACTTGAAGATCACAGGAAACGTTTTAACTGCTTGTCATCTAATCCCGTAAAAGCGTGAAAAGAGTTTGACGTATCGCGTTTGCTTTCTTCGTAAGTCCAGTCGTTGCACATGCTCGAACACTAACAAAATTAAAAATAGCATTCGTGGAGTAGTGAAACACTGGTTCTTGAGTCACAGATCAAAGTGGGATATTGTAGAGGGGGATACGTGAAAAATATTGAAGATTATGGGACACAGTGGAATCAGATATGCCACTGGCATCATCATGACCACTGAACTGTGTATGAATTTGTCGTGTCTCCAGGTCAATCTTGCCGAGGAGTTTGATATACTTCAGATTGTTGGTGAAGGATGGTTTGGGAAGATACTGCTGACCGAGCACAAGAGCACACAGACAGAAATGGTGTTAAAAGCATTGCCAAAAGCTTACACAGCTATCACCGATTTCTATCGAGAGTTTCATTATGGCTTACATCTGTCAGCTCATCGAAACATCATCACTACGTACGATGTTGCCTTTGAAACGGCTGGATTCTACGTTTTCAGTCAGGAATATGCGCCCCTCGGTGAGTTCATGTCAATAAGACATAATATTTCTGGTCATTTATTGATATGAATATGTTTTTCCCTCTTTCGTTGAGCCTGGAAAATGGTTTAATGTTGGATTTTTCCGTTCAGGTGATCTAACTGCTAATGTTTCTGAGACTGGTCTTGGTGAGCTCCATGCGAAACGAGTTGCGAGGCAGCTGGCGGCTGCTATTCATCATATACACAGTCGTGAACTTGTTCATCGGGATATTAAACTCGATAATGTGCTTGTGTTCAAAAGTGACTTCTCAAGGATCAAATTGTGCGACTTTGGGGAGACAAGGAAGGTCAATACTATCGTTAGGAGACATAATGAATGGCTGCCTTATTCACCTCCTGAAGTGCTGAGAGTTGAGCCGGAAGAGAATTACAAGTGAGTGATGAATTTGCCATCAAACTGGCCAAATGTACCTCATGCAGTCAATTATTGCTGACGAAGCATCACGAGAACTTTTTTTATTGCAAATTTCTCCTTGCCATTTTTATTGCACATCCCTTGCAACTGTATTGCATTTATAACGTTTGATCGTTCCGACACAGAATCGTGATTGTAATTTATTTTTGATGGTTTTGTTTGCTCCTGTGATGATTTCCAGAGCCCTGATAGCCCACGATGTATGGCAATTCGGAATTGTTCTGTTTGTTTGTCTAACCGGATGTTTGCCATGGCAGAAAGCTGCCCTGGACGATAGAAGATACACCAGGTACCTGAATTGGCACTCAGCCACACTGAAAATTGCGAAGAAACCAAAGTTGTTTCAGCTCATCAGTTCGAGGGCACAAACGATGTTCTCCAGACTGCTGGAGCCAAAATTGGAAAAACGGCCAGTGAGTGTTCTGGAGGTCAACAAATACGTTGATGACCGGTGGCTCGGAAAATTGGGTGCTGAGAAAGCATTGAACGGTACGTATCACCAACAAATAACCACTCAATATCGATTCCAAGCGCTGACATGGATCCCGTTTCCTCTAAATATTCTAAACTCCTTCATCACTGTCAATCACAGGTGGCGCAGACGAGAGAGACGAGCTCTGTCCCTCCATGTACAGTTTCCATAGTTCCCTAGAGGAGAAGAATCAACTCCTCTACACCCTGACCCGCTATGGAATCGAGACTACAGTGGACCGAGCCAAAAAGAAAGACAGAATTCGCGAGTGGATCCAGGCAAGTGCCATCGCAGAAGAGAACGAGGACGACGACTCAATTCTCGAAGAGCTAGAGAAACTCCACGAGAACTCGGAAGACGACGAGGCGAACATGAAAGGCAGGCACTTCCCCGAGAGGCGGCCCAGCGTGAAGAGCTCAACACCAGACAGACCGATCACAAGTGCCCAGGTGAAACCAAAGGAGAAAAATGGAAGTTTGGAGAAACGACACAGAAAGTCCAAATCCACACATCGACCTTCCCTGAAGAACATAGAGAGGCGAAACCCTTTCGCTCCTCAAGTAGCCAGGGAGATGCAGACGATCGCAAGATTCTCGAGTTTTCCAAACGGAGATCCCAACTTTGGCATCAACACCAGCCACTCCTTGCCATCATTGCCAACAGGCTTGAAAGGAGAAGATCTGCAGCCGCTTAGACACTCAGGACCTCTGGGATCCATTGCTCCAGTCCAGAAGGCAGCATCAGTGACTCAAATTGTCACAAACGATGATCAGCAGCTTGATCGAACCCCGTCAGTATCGAACAGAGGCACAAGTGCCTCAAACTCCTATGACAATATTCCCACTCCCATCAATTCCACCCCAGAGTCCTCAAGGATTGAGATAAACGGAAGCAAATCACCCCCACAAGCTGACGAAGCTGTCAATAATTATCATCAGAATGTCCCCCAGAGTCCCCTGCCTCCAACGAGGAGGAACAAGGGACAATCCCCTGCGCAAGCAGCTTCGCAAAGTCCCAGAATGTCTCCCCACGTCGAGAAGAACATCGGTGGGAGTAAAAATACTTCCAATCAGGCTCTTCCGATGTCTCTATTCGCTGGACAATTAGTCATGCAGAGCTTCAAGACAATTCAGGGTGTGACTCAGCACGCATCCAAGCCAGTCGCTTCTAGTTATAATAAGAAGGAGAGTGAGAGGAATGAGGGACACGGGGCAGTATACGGAAAAGACGCTTATGAACATTATGGGGTGGCTCAAGGGGCCATCATCAGGCCCCAGTTCAGCAGGAATAGAGGTTCTCCAGGGAGTAGCCGATCTGTTAGCAATTGATTTTCATTTTCGATCGTAATTCGAGGAAGATTATTCGATGTGGGACCAGACAGTGATGATTCAAGTTAATTCGTGATTTTTTAATTGAAATGCCAACTTTGATGAAAATTGGGGTAATATTATTTGTGGGGTATTATTTGTGGGGTAGTCGGTATTTTCAATTGTTAAAAGTAAATGTAAAGTTTTATTTTAGTCGATTTTCACGGAGTGAGTTATTAAAATTGTTTTGAAAAGAATTGCGGAAAAAGTTATTAATTATTTTGTTATAACACTTCATGAATGGTTTCTGGATAAATGTGAAATTTAATGAAGCATGCGAGACTCACCGTTGGAGTTTCACTAGTAGTTCTGCTGCCATTCCTCCATTGTTGACGTAAAATTCCATCTGAATCCTCTTGGAGAATCGCACAACTATTTTCACACAGAAACACTTGATTTGTTTTCAGTTGAAAAATAAAAAACGTGAGGAATCGAAGATGAAATCACAGTTCATTGGTGGATTATCTCAGAATAAGAGATTTCAAGTTGAAATGTCAAGAAACATGAGACTAAAAATCGATTATTCCATAAACCAACAATTGTAAAAATTCAAATTGATTCATCACGATTCGACACTTTATATCAGAACTTCATCACTTTCTCTTTCTTTTCACAGTACATTTGCAAATTCAGCAGTCAATTTCACTTGTAACACTCACGCACATATTTTTTCACGTTAACAACTCCGAAATCACGCCCATCTCCGCAAAAATGGAAATTCTCCTACAAATACATTGGCTCTGGTGATGTTTGGATAACAGCGCTCTTGAGTATAAGAGTATAAAAAAAGCAATTCTGAGGAGTCCATCTACCTTTAGAGAACCCAAATTTCCTCAGGAATCGAATGGAATTGGTTTTAAGGCTCTATCTCTAATAGTTTCGGAGATAATCGCGAAAAACAAAACGCCCAAAAAATAATAATTTAATTTATCTTGTAAATGGTGTAGGAAG